TTTATTTCAATTCTATTTTCATTTAGAAAGAAGTATATATGAAATTGTTTAGACTTATGATTTCTGCTACTGTTGGAAATGATTAACTAAAATAAGCAACGACATGTATGAGTACAATTATGGAAAAGAAAAAGGATATGTAATGAGTATATCAAAGAAATAGAAAGTAAAGTTTAGAAAGAAAACATACACATGTATATGATTCGTATATGCAAATGATAAATAATATTTATAGAGATACATATAAGATATGTTGTATGCAATGGTAACAATAAGGATGAAAATGAGAAAAAGAAAAGAAAAGAGAATAAAGGAAAAGGTATTGAAAACGATAGGAGTTCACCCCCTTATGGTACTGGCTGGGGACGTCGTACTCGTGCACGAAAAAGGAAAAGGAAAATGATATGGAAATGGAAAAGGAAATCAAATGGAAAAAGTTATACCTTTGGGTACTTTGAGATGGTGCTCCTGTGCAAAACAAATGGGTAAAGGCAATATAAATGAAATTGTTTTAAATGAAAATATCCGAAGAAGTATAAATCAATGAAATGAAAGAAATAAGATTAAGAAAGGATATAATCCACATATCTTTATGCCTATTGATTGTTTTAATTAAATACTCACTGAGTTTACTTAGTAAACTCAACTCACGGGTTTAAATGTTTCAGGTAAGTTCCTAAAGAAGTAATGGCTGAAAGAGAAGAACATGTTTACAGAACGCGACGTGCAAATGACGACAGGTAATTTATATTTTGTGGTTAGTGGCTCTTTAGTACAAATGAAGTAGTATAGTGTTTAATGAATTTTATCGTCCGACTTTTTGTACCCGCCTCGTTAGATCGAGCATCCGGGTCAGGTCGTGACATAGTTTTATCATATCTAAATCATCACGATACAAACTTATTTATAATAGGAATATGTATTAGTAATTATTGTAATATTTCCTTATTATTGAGAATTTTCTTCTTTATTTTATTTTCTTTAATTGTTCTCTTCTCAAGTCTACATAGACACATTACTTCTACTAGAAAGAAAAATCAATATTCTTTACCTTCAAACACAGCAAAACTCCATATTATCTAAAGCTACCTGCAAGCCTGCAAGGGTACAAGTTCCAGAGCTACATTGAAAATTTAAAGGATAACGGCTCTAAGAGATGGAATCTTATTTCAAAAAGAACATTAGCTGAAATAAAAATTCCTTTCATCTCTAAAATCTCTTAAAAGTGTAGTCGTTAAGATGAATAGATTAAGAATATCGGGCATTTTCAAAAATTCTGTTCCTTTTCCATTGTCAGTAACAATGAATTATGGATAATGAAATTTAAATGCATAGAAGATCTGAGAGAATGGTATCCGTATAAATTTTAATGGAAAGGTTTAGATTGAGTTGCCAATGCACTGAATGCGCTTGTTACTGCCCCAGTCCTGAGAATATTGAAGCAATCCCAACTTAATAGCATCAAACAGACTTCAATTTGAAATGATAGCAGAAGTGTCTACCAACATTGACCAAAAATTATTTAATGATACTAAAAATTGGGGGATGACAAACAGGGATAAGTCATCGGTGATATGCTTTCTTAATTGAAAATATAGACCATAGAAATTAATGGCTTAGGAGTGACTGCTATAGAAATTAATACTTGAAATGCACTACTGGAGATCATCTAATCAACAACTTTAACATGGCCTGAAGTCATGACCTAGGAGTTTCTAAATAAATGAGCAACAAATCATAATGTTACATACTTATACCATTCAAACAAAAATATATTCACTTGACACTGACCGATGATAAAAAAAAATATATATGCATTGCATAACATTGGGCAAGAGAATTATTTTTGATATAGAAGAAAGGTAGTATTTTGAAGAAAGATTTCATGAACAGAAGTGTTTTTATCTGAGAGAATAATCTTCATCGATATCTGCATCTAATAAACTTACATCATCCCGGAGACTATCACCTATCATCATAACTTCATTAGGTGGAATACCCCAAGATGAGCAGATGTGCAACAAAGGAGCTGGGTTAGGTTTATACGGACGGAATTCCCTGCTCAATGCTGGAACAAACTTCAGCTGCAATGATAATGGAGGAAATGTTGAAATGGAATCATTTGTCTGACAAGCAACAATTGGCAGAACTACAAATTTTTCATTAAGTGAAAACGAGCTGCACATTAAAAAGAAAATTAGGAAAGAAGGTTCCAGAAGAATGGGCAACATGAATTCCATAAAAATTACCTGTACAACAATTTTGCTAGTCATTCATTTCAAAAACATTAAATATTACTTGGGGCTGGTTTGCTTCATTTTAAGTGCCTGGAAGTGTGAAACTCACTTTCAAAAGTTACTACAAACATTTGTTTGGTTGACACTGGATGGAATTTAGTTCTCACTCTTGAATCGTCTTCAAAAAGGTGAGATGAGTCTCAATCTTGAGGCCTAGGAAGTCTAGGAAGTCGACTTTAGTTTTGCATTTTTTGTTTTACTTTTAATAATAACATAATAATATTAAATTAATGTGATGATGCTTAGAAAATCACTTCGTGTAATAATACTTCATTTTTGTCCAGTGAAGGATCTCAATGATTAGATAATCAATCTGAAAGCTTCCATAGGTTGCCCACATATGTTAACTCATGGTGATGCGATAATCAAGAGTGCAATATAGTATTTTGTGGAATTTGATTCAAAGCTGAATCCAATGGTGTTCGAATAGCTGGACTAGTTCATTGCAGACGACAATGCCAGTTTGCACTTCCTGCCACACTTTGACACTGAAAAATTGTACAAGACAAAGAAAAAAAGGCTAATAACCTGGAACTAGTAATGATAGGCCTTCTTTAAGGCTAAGAGGGTTCAGAGGTTGATGTATGCTGCATCTTTCTTCACCAGAAAGAAAGGGGCAGCAGCTTAAGGGCGCCAGAACCAGCTATCTAGACAGCCAGGGATGCGAACAGCAGCCTTCAGGAGGCAATAAGCAGCTGGTTGGATAGGCTGGACAACGAGCAGCAGTCTTCAGGAGGCCGAGGAGACAACTGGCTGGGAAGAAGGGCGGCAGGGAGCCCATTTGATGTAGAACCAAGTTAGTCATGATTGGGGCGAAATTATTGATTTAATAGAGTTGCCCATTATGATTTCTCAATTAAGAAAATAGGAATTAAATCAAATCCCAAATCTAAAGTTAATTTGGAATAATTGTCTGAGAGACTTAATTGGGAGGAGCAAAAGGGGAAAGGGAGAGAGGGAGGGGCCGACCCCTTTGATGGGGATTTGATTGGGGTGTTTTATAACTTGTCAATCCTAGGCTATCAATTATGGGTGGGGAAATTAAGGTCAATCTCCCATTAAATTCAAATTGGCATGATTGGGGGAGGTTTCCTAATATAGCTCATGATATTTTAGGAAAGTGATTTCAGATTTTAAATAAATTAAAATCTGATTTGAAAACCTTCCTAATTTAAAATGCCCTAATTATGGAAAGTAATGACTATGTGTTTGAAATTTAAAATTTGAAATCAAAGGGGAGAGGTGGGATATTTAATGACTTGCCAATCTTAGAATATTATTTAGGAAAAGAAATTATGATAATTATCTATTTGAATTTCAAATATCATGATTGGAGAAGCTTTCCTAACATAGCTATTTTCTTTTAGGAAAGAGATTTCAAATTTAAAATTATTTAAATTTGAAATCTTTTGACTTTCAAAATTTACAAGAATTTAAATTATGAAAGTAATAAATGCTTGGTTTTGAAATTTTGGAGCCAGGAGGGATGGTGATTGGCGGCTAGGAAGGAGTGGGGCCGGTGGTTGGGTGGGGGAAAGGTTCGGCCAAAGGTGGGGGAAAGTGGAGGCCGACGGCTTGGTGGAGGTGGTTGGGCCAAGAGGTTGGGAAAACTGAGGGAAGAGGAATGGTATCAGAGCTAGATGAAAATGGTGGCTAGGTGAGGAGGAGAGGGAGTCGGTGGAGAAGATATACCACGAGCCTGGACACTTTCTGCGGCTAATGGATAATACTTTGCCCTCACCTAGGGACTTCAAACCACGAGCCCGAATGCTTCATGTGGCTGGGAGTAGTATGCTGCTCTCACCTAGGGACTTCAACTCTCATAAGAACTCTCAAAGCCTTCCAGAACAAAGTGCAAATTTTTTTTAATAATCATCCATCCCCTCAAAAGAAGAGGGGTTATAAATAGCCAAAATACAATAATAAGACAAATGACAAAAGTGTCCCCTGGGGTCACATAGGCCTACTCTCTCAAGTGAGCGTAAAAACGAAAAAATGCATAAATAAATCAAATATAAATAATAACTAAAAATAAAGTGGTACAATCATAGTCTTCGATCTTCGGCTCATCCTTTGATAAACTTTCACTGTCGGATGTCCTCATCACCATTGCTGCAAGGGAGGAAGCCAAGGATGCCGATGGCACCTGCTGAAACGAGGGGCAGGCGGCTGGAGGATGTTGGCCACCACCTGGAGGAATCCATGATAAAGGAGAACCTAGAAATAGTTTCGGCTATTACTTCAAAAAGCAAAATCGGAAAGAAACTAAAGAAAACAAAAAAGGTGGGTATGGTTAGTTAATTGAACCGGTCTAAGCCATGTGTCATTCTCCTCGGCGTGGAGAGGCTTCATCATAATTGGAAGCCGATGTTTCTTCGTAATGAGGGGTTAAATTTGGAATTTTGAAGGCAGCATATATTTGATAATCACCAGGCAGTTCTAGTTGATAAGCATTGTCGCTGAAAGTTCCATAAGTTTTAGGTTTTAATTTGCTAAGAGGGCCAGGTGCAAACCGTTTTGTAACTTAATTCATGCTAAATCACCTACTTTGAAAGTTCGATTTTTCTGTTTTTGTTGGTTTGTGCTTGATATTTGGCATTCTGTTTATTGAAGTGATCTTATACATGTTCATAAATTTTTCATATTTTTAAGCAAATTCTATTTGAGGAAAAATTAGATCCCATTAGCAGATATTTTTTGCCAATGAAACATCTTAGCAGATTATCTAGACTTCGGTTGACAACTTCTATTTGGCCATATGTTTGCGAATATGCCATGGAGCAAAATAGAAATTTGGTACCCATTTTACTCCATAGAGTTTTTCAATAATGACTAAAAAATTTAACATCTCAATCTAATATGATGGTTTTAGGGAGGCCATGAAACTTTATAATCTCTTGAAAATATAGATTGACGATGTGTGTGGCATATAATGTTTTATAACAAGGTATAAAATGCATCATCTTTGAAAATCGGTCAACAATAATCATGACAAAATCTTTATGATGTTGTGTTGGGAAGTTTTACCACAAAGTCCACACTAACATCAGTCCATGGAAGTTTTGGAACATCTAATAATTTGTAGGCCCCAGATCCTCAATCTTTACTAGATGACATACCTGCACTTCTTCTCATAACAATCCACATCATTAACAAATAATGGCCAATAAAACCTTTCTTGGACAATTGCTAATGTTTTATCTCGACCAAAATGTCCTGCTAATTTGCCTTCATGACTTTCATATAGGATGGTTTCTCTAAAAGAACATTGAGGTATGCATAGTCTGTTGCCAAAGAATAGATATCCATAATTAATATGAAAACAATTATAGGGTCTCTGGTGACATACCTCCCATATTTTCTGAAAATCTAGATCTTGCTAGTACAATTCTTGTATGGCTTCGAATCCCATAGTTTCAAGTTACAGAGTATTGATTAGAAGTAGTCTCCTACTTAAAGGTCAGCCACTTGATTGCATTATCCTGACTTCTACAGGAGTGTAAATGGAATGAAGATAGGTACTCCATCCACTTAGTGTATCTCCCTTTTAATTTGCTTTGATCGTGTAGGTGCTTAAGGACCACATGATATGAGAAGAGTACAAATTCTTGTGCTAATAGATAATGGTTCCAATGTTGTAGAGCCCATGCAATAGCATATAATTCTTTATCATAAGTTGAATACTTTTTTCGGGTGTCGTTAAGTTTTTTCACTTAAGTAGGCTATGAGATGTTTTCCTTGACTTAGAATAGCTTCAATTCCTATGTTGGAAGCATCACAATCAACTTAAAATACCTATTTGAAGTTTGGAACGGCCAAAATTAGAGCAGAGGTCACCAATTGTTTTAGACGACTGAAATTAGATTGAGCTGCATTAGTCCAGTGCCATTGTGTGCTCTCGAGTAGTTATGTTAATGGCATTGCTATGGTACTGAAATTTTTTATGAAGCGACAATAAAATGAGGCTAACCTATGAAGCTGTCATATCTTTGTTATGGATCTAGGGATGGGGGTCAATTGATAATGGATTATATCTTTGTGGGATCCATCTCAAAACCTTGGCTAACACCAAATACCCCAAGAATTTGATGGTGTCGATCATGAATTCACATTTAGTAGGATTGAAAAATAGATGTTGTTCTTGGAGTGTTTTGAAAATTTATTCAAGGTGAACCCCACCACTGAGTTCAAGGAGTCTTCAGCCATGTCCAGATGTGGCTTCTCCTACTCCTCTACCACTGTGTCACTCTCACCTCCCTCAGCTTCCTTGTCATCACAGACTGTAAGAACTTGAAGAGTTCGGTCTTTACACTTGGGCCCCGGCATGTACCTCTCATCACATCTGAAGCACGACCCCTTTGCCCGCTTCTCCTGCAACTCCTCTATGAGCTTCTTGAAGTTTCCCCCAAATCCCCCTCCTCCAGGTTTCTCCTTTGGGGCCTCATGCAAGCTCCCCGGTGCTGGTCCCTTAGGAGTTAAGAAAGTAGTGGTCATCCTGTACGACCCCCCTGAGCTGCTACTTCTAGCTCATTTCTCCAGATACTTGCAAGCTTCATAGCCTCTCCTAAGTCACGCGGCCTCATCACTCTAATAGCCGCTTAGATCTCAATCTTGAGCCCCTTCATGAAGTTCCCCTCTAGCACAGTCTCATAAATTCAATCTAGTCGGCTAGCTATCACAATACTTTGGGATAGAACCCTCCTGCGTTAGGGAGAAAAACAACTCATAGAATTAAGTCCCCTCCCCAACTAGTTTGAAAATGTTCTAGTGAGCAATCCTTGAACTCACTCCAACTTCGAATAGGTCGCCTCATGTGCCTCCAATGGTACTATGTCAATGCCTTCCCCTCCAAACATAGACCGACCGCCATCAATTTCTCCTCCTCTATTAACCCATTGATGGCAAAGTACTTCTCTACCATTTAGATCCACCCATGTGCGTCTTCACCCTCAAAGATGGACATCTTCAGCTTCCTTACTCTTGGATCACATATGTTACCCCTGAATCCTCCATAACCTCCCATCCGGCGAAGAGGAGGTGTTATCCAAGTATTTTGATCTTCCCTTCTATGCTTGTACCCAAACCCTTCTTCAAAATCCCATCTCCTTTTAAAATCAGCACCCTAGTGCTCGTAATCAATTCCCGTCTTACAAAATCAGTACCCCTTCACTCATAACCCGTACTCATCTCCTCCCTAGAAAGAGGTTCTAGCAGAGACATCCCGTCTTCTCCCTCCAAAATTTCAATCTCTAGGTTTTCCCTTCCCCTAAACAGATTAGGACGTCACCTACTTCCTTGGCCTCTGGTGGCTTATCTTGTATCGGGTACTGTCATTTTGGATTTGTCCTCAAACAGTTTCTTCAACATTATTTCCATGACATCGAACCTCCCATCCATCTTTGCATGGACGGATGTGAATTGGCCTTTAAATTTTGAAAATTTTCCCCCAAAATCTGACCTCAATTGGCCTAGTTCACCCTCCAATACTTCTACTTTCCTCCCGAACATTGGTATCTTATATCGACGGGCTCTGATACCAATTTGATAGAAAATAATAATGAAAACCCGAGAGAAAACTCTGCTAAATTCAGAATTTCAGCAATATTCAAAGCAAGTTTTGAGAAATATGTATATAAACTGCAAGGAAATACTCTCTTGATTAAATAATAGATTAAAGAAACAATATGATACAATGACTTTTCGATTTGAGAGGAAGATCTAGCTCTCCCAATCCATAGCCGATGAATACAGCCCAAACAACACCAATAGATCTAAAATTTCAGGCCAAATTCAAGATGAAAACTCTAACCCTAGCAAGAGAAACTACTTAAAGAAGAATACAATAAAGAAATCCCTAAACAACCCTTAATTTTGAATTTTTCTCTCCAAGCCTTCACTAATTACAACCATTACTTTCAATTAAAGCAGCTGGGCCTACCAAACCACCCACCCCCTTACTGGGCGGGATTCCTACTCCGCCTGGAATAGAATTAAACCGGTCCAGCTGGAACCGGTTCAACCGGTCCTTGGACCTGCCTAACAGATACCTCACACCACTAATTTTGTCTTTCAAGTACCATAACCCAGATTCCAAGATCACTAAATTTATATTTTATAGAACAATAGAACAATTGCATAATGACAAGATGATAAATTAAGTATAGCATACCCCAAATTTTCGATGGAACAAATCAACTGAAGCCTTAACATTGCGAGTGATCAATCCCCTTCTGCCAAAACAAAACAGGTGCCATGAAAAGCATTCATAAAGAAAGGACTAGTAAATTACAGTTATAACTGTGTATGAAACTAACTACAAGTAGAACCATATGTTTAACTCACAAAAGGTGTTGATGTTTATACTAGCTCACAAATAGGTTCATCTAATGGATGCTAGCATAAATATATAAAAGACCTCAATTGATATTTACAAAAGATAAAAATACCATTCTCAAAAGAGAATTCAGTGGCTCTATGAAGCTTCCCTCCATGTGGTAGCAAGGCTCAACAATTAATTTAAGTGCTAGTAAAGGTGATTAAAGGGAAAATTGCCAATCTGTTGTTGTCTTTTGACCCTACCAACAAATAGATCCGTAAGTTTTCAAAATCCGACAAATAGGTCCTCCTAATGGCTTCTTTTAACAAAATCAAATAGGGACATTAATTAACACATTCAAAAGGCAGCAATGCCATTCTGCAATACTGGCAAGCTCAGGGGTACGGCTCTGCACTATTGGCGCTTCAATTAAAAAGTATATTAATGGAAGCGTCATAGCCTTGGCACCTCAGGTGGCAAGATAACAACCTTTTTTTAAGCAGTAAGGCTGTGTGCTTGTAAACCACAAGAAGGGCTATCACCAATATCGTGTGTCAGGGTAGTAAATATCAAATCAGAAAATTATTTTGTATTTAGTTAGCACCGCATGTTTATTTGGTTGTAAATTGACATATTATATTTGATTCTTCTATTATTATTGTTGACCTGCTGTAAAAAAAAAAGAGAAAAGAAATTAAAAAAATCAAATCAAAACC